TCCACCCTTACAATCAAACGCACCCTAAATGATTTCATTTTTATGAGTTTTTCTTCCTTTTTGCATATGATATTGTCACTCCCTTTGACAATATCATCTTAGTCATAAAATTCTATTAAACCTTTTCTACTATTTACCTTTGCACCCACCAACACGCATAAATTGAAAGGTTGCATGATAATTCTTTTACTTGCTTAAAGAAATAATGTTATGTAGCAGTAGTTGGTAGTTCTTAACACTATCATTATCTTGTAATAGGGCATCTTCGACTTAGATTTTATTAAAATCTAGATGTTTCTCCCAATAATTCGGAAGCATAACATAATGAAATTGTTGGTTTTATCTTTTAAAAAAAAAAAGGGTAATCAAGTGCCTTGAATTCAAATTATGTACAACTTTTAATTTTAATTTTTATTTGAGCCCTTAATTTTATCTTTATATTTATAAATTCATGTACAATTGTTACCTAATGAATGATCAAAATAAAAAGACCAAATATGTAATGCCACGTGCTTGTTTCTCGTAATTATTACGTCCATCTAGATTACGTATTAATGTTGCGTATATTGTTTAATTAATATAATTATCTTCATCATGACTATCTTTTGGATGCCTTAAACGATCGACATGCCTATTAATTTTGACTGCTTTTCTTATTGGGCTCTCCTTATGCTTATCTGTTTTATCATCTACTTATTCAAAGTCGAATAATTTTTTTCTTGCAAAAACAAAAGGGGTTAATTGAATGAAAGTTGTATATTTATTTATATTAAATTTCAGCTATATGTATAAGGTATGATTAAGACCTAAGTCTTATCTTTTTCATCGGCATTTTGGTTCGAAAATTTTGAGAGTTCCATCACGAGTCATCTCTTTTGATCGTTGTTCATTGCATCGACCCTTCTATTTGTGTTACAAAACTTTGTTCTTAGTTCGATGGTTGCAATTAAGAAGTAAAGTCTTTTCTATGATGTCGATAGTCGTCACTTAAGTTCTTTGAATATGTTTAATCTCGAGTGTTTTGGATTCGTGCATGTCTTGCACCTTTCTTACTCTCTTTCGTCCCCCATCTCATCATCCATTGATTACATCTTAAAGGAAAATACTTTTTTATCTTGAAAATTCTATCGGTTAGCGCTTAGTTCGGTTGATAAGGCATCTAGCACTTGTTTCAACTTTTAAAATTGCATATGAGCCTTGGCACGTTTGTTTACACAAATTATTATTGGTAACCATGATGAATAATTTATCTTAAAAGAATAAGGATATGAATTGATTTTTAGGATGAATATTGTTGAAATTTTAAATGTATATTAATGACCTAAGATAATTGGCACGCATATTTCGTGGGGCTAAGTCCATCTCCGGTTGTCATTTTAAAAGTAAATTATTAAGGATTTCAAGCAAGTAAACATCCCCTTATTTTCATCTGTGTGTCATATGGTTAAATGTATAAACATGTTAGTTAAATTATCCTTACGTAACATGATATTTGATCATTACTTTTTATGTTATAAATGCTTCTCGTGACATATTCATACATGTTAATTCATTCATAGGTATACATAAAGTTTTAGGAAATAAAAAAATTTCAAATGCCAATAAGTCAAAGACTATATTAAGAAATAAAATGTTTTCAAATGTCAATGAGTCAATGACTATTTCAAAAAGATATGTATTTGAATTTTTTATTACGAGATGAGTGTTTATACCAAGATATGTGTGAGTGAAAAATGGGACGTGGGGAATTGACGCACTCAACAATGTTCAGTGTTCAATATTAATGTTAATCGTTTTGCGATATTATCGATAGGACGGATTGAGTTCCAAATAATAATTGCCCATTACATTCTTATTGGCAAGATGGTACATCAAGTGGGCTTACAATGTCAATATTAAGATTTTTAAATATATGAAATAAAAGTGAATACATAATGACAAATGTTTTTTATTTTAAAATAATTCAAATGCATATCATAAGTATGCATTATATACATGAGGTTTACTTACTGAGCGTTAACTCATTCCACGTTATCCATCCTCATTTTTCAGATGATTCAAGATGATGATTTATTGTGGGACGGACTTAGTACTAATACATTTGATATGGACTCAATTTGAAATAAGTTTAACATTTAATTTGATTATTTTATATTTTTATTACATATAAAATTTTTCTAAAATTCTTTCCGAAAGTCGTAAATTTTTTTATCTTAAAGAAAAATTTACAATCACTTTTCCGCATTTATGATATTAAGAAAATTAATGATAATATTTCCAAATTCAGGTATCTAGATTTTGGGTGTTACAAAATACATGGTACCAATTCCATTAAAATAAATTATTAAATTATACTTGTAATATAGCAATAGTTTCTAACAAAATTTATAACGTTTCGAGGTACAAACTTCTTTATTGATTTGATTTTCAACTATAGCACTTAAATTGAAACTTTCTGAACATAAACATAATAATACTAATATATTAATCTCAATATAAGCTTAAATAAACAAATTAATATGAGAATTAATCATAAAATTTAAGCTTTCAATTTCATGTTTTAGATTCAAAAAAAAAATCTTCATAAGTAATTTTTTATTTTCTTTAAAAATATAAAAGCTGACTAACACGTAAATATTTTGAAGTATAAATTGATATAATAAATAACACATTGGGTAAAACGAGCTTAAGAAAAAGATCAGAAAATTGGGTGAACAATCCGATTTAACTATCGAATCATTTCCAAATGGTTTAGCCCTTGTTTGAGCCACATTAAAATTCTCATTCTTCTACTCATTTTTAACCACGCATTATTTAATAAAATAATATTTTTCATCACATCAATAACTTTTCCTTATTTTTCAACCACCATTCTCCATTAATCTACTATTCCAAAATACATTCTTCCAAAATACATTCTTCCTTAATTTTGTTTTGAAACAGTCTAAAAAGAAACCACGTGAAACCAAATCAACCGATTTCCGAACCATGATTTGAATTCGAT